GGCAAAATTTATTATGGTTTATAATGGCAAATGATACTTTGAATATTACATGTTAATAACTTGATTGGAATTATAACCTTGAGTTGACAGTTTGATACTTTGAAAATTTTGAGCCAGCCCTACCCCCAAGGGCTGTAGGGTGGGGCTCAAGGGAGTCAGTGTGCTAAAATTTCTTCATTTTCCTTGTTTAGAATCAGAGGTGCTAGTTTCAAATCCTTTTTAGTCTGAAATCTGTATGCTTGATATTGAATAAGGTAGTTTTATTGTTTTTTGTCACTTTGAATAATATTTCTGTTCATGTTAAAAACGAAATCAACTCTCTGTATAAATATATCAGGTGACCGTTAAGGCCCATGGGCCTCTTGTTTTTCATTCATGACGCATTTTTGCTACTAACAAGGTGCTATTAAAACTTTGTGCCTTATTTAATAAATCATTGATTTAGGCTTTTACCTGTTTCTTTTAACCAAGAACAGAAGACATACAGTTACCAAGTTTGGGTCAAAATTGGAGTCACACCCATTTATTTCAGCTATCGTGTTCACAGGGTCCAACAATAATAGAATTACCAAGGGGAATAACTATGTAAGTTAGGGTCAAATTGGTCCGGTATTCAAACTCATTCAAGATCTCATTGATACAAAGCTGCATACAAAGTTTCATCAAAATCGGTTCATATTTACTGAAGTTATTGTGTTCACAAGGAAAAATTAATGGACGATGCAGCAAGGTCACTCGGACCGGCGAAAGTATGAATTGGCCCCTGGATGACAGTCCTAATTTAAATCGGATGTCAGGTGACCGTTAAGGCCCATGGGCCTCTTGTATAATCAAGCAGTAGGCAGTTCCTCTAATAATAAGGTCAGATAATAGTTACAGTTGTGTGACCGCACGACGCACCAAAAATACTGTGCGCACAACGTGCATACATCGTCCACACATGGTGCGCCCAACTGTGCGATATAACAATCGTTCGCCCAGTTGTGCGCTTTTCTCCGCACAACTGTGCGATTTGGTACAAAAAAAATACGGAAGGCTTGTATCCAATAATGTACACTGTATATATATATATATATATTACTGTAATTTTTCATCATAATAATTAAGATTATTTACAATTTTACAATGCGTGTAACCGTTAGACTGTCAAGAATGGGTTAAGCTCTTAAGTAACAGAACATGTAAATAACAATTTGATGAGTGACGGGAGTTTTACCTTGCCTGTGCCTGACACATAGAGCTGATATGTGATACCGTATGACCGTTATGAAATCACAACTGGACGTTAAGTATTTGTTATTTGCATTCGATTTGGTCTATAGCTCCCCTTCACCTGGTTTTCACACCTTGCAGAGTTTTGTAAGTGCCCAGGGCGGGGGAAAACTACGGTCCAGGTACAGGTATAAAGAGACTGTGTTGTAATATTACATGTGTCGATTTAGGTTGTTTAAAAAAAACCTAAAACACCATTTCTAAATTTAAGAAAGTATAGAGAGAAAGATAAGCTTTTAGATGTAGCTAGAACATAGACACGTACTAAATAATCAAGTTTATGTGTTTAAACACATCCACGAAACCATATTTATTGTTAGGCATTCCTCAATTTACACTAACCATGATTGTTATCGCACAACGGTCATCCATCGTCCGCACAAATGTGCGCAAGCAATGATCGTCCAATTTTGTATCGTTCACACTGTGCACACATCTTGCGAACACCGCACGTCGTTTTTATATCCCGATACATGTACAACTTTCAGTATGACAACAGACAATGTACAGTTAATGTTGTTAGGTCACTGTGACCTTGACCTCGAGGTCAAAGGTCAAATAAGTGCAAAGTTTTCAGGAATATCTTGTACGGGCCGTAACTTTTAAACCGTTTCTGTTCACAAAAACAAATCTGTAGTTCATATTGAAATCATAATATTCTAATTAAAATAAATTGCACAACATATCTTGCTGATGTAGGTATATTCCAGAAGCATCGCTGTGTAGTTGTTAAGGTCAAAACATTTACATCGAGGTCAAAGGTCAAATAAGTGCAAAGCAAATGTGCTTATTCACTAATGAGGGGGGGATTACAAAAATACATCTTTGGTTTAGTGTTTTAGTTTTCCCTTCAGCTATTCATGTCTGCACTAGCCATTCTAATGATGCAGTATTTTGGTTTTCTGTTCAGCAGGTCGGGTCAGTACTCGATAGCATACAGCGGTCAACCCTAGCCAGGCAGATATGTGTGGTCAGTTTCTACTCAGAGACCAAGGCATTCCATATGCGACTTGTTGAATCGGCCTGCAGTGGTGAGCTCAGCAAAGTGGACAAAGTTGGCTCCCTTGTCTCGAACCATGAAACCATCCCTAAGCTGCCCCGTGCCAAGATTTTTCTGGTATTTGTCGACTTCAATGAGCGAAATATAATTCTAGAGCACCCGGACAGAGAGATTGGTGACCTCAGGATGACCACAGTCCAGGGAGCTCGCAAAATGGGAGGTCAGTACACAGGGTCTTTGGCATATCTTTTATTCAAATTCAAAACAATAAGCTATTGGATGAGAATGTGTCAGGAATGTATATTGTGTAGTGGAACTGGACTATAAGTTGATTGCTTGCAACCAGGAAGCTCAGCCTAAGTTTCTCTACCCCAAACTTAATTTTTGTGATTTTCATATTCAGGACATCAAACTGATGTAAAGTAAAACAGATTTAGTTTAAAAAAGTAAAATAGAAAAATATATGCTTAAACCCTTCATTTAATCATTATGGTAAAGTGAAGCGCCCCTGCCCCACCCTAAATTTTTCTTGAAGTAAACTTAAAGAAAATGAATGGAAAAAAGTTTGTCAGCATAGAAATCGATGTAACCCTTCTTTTCACCATGGGGCGGTTCATATATTACCATAATGGTAATATGAACAGCGGTTCATTTTACCATTATAGTAATATGAATTGAAGTTCATTTAACCATACTTCACAATACCATGCTTCACAATACCATGCTACACCGGGTTTCAATTCTAGTCTAGCCGTTCCATTTCTCTCTCTCTCTTGTTACATCATTGGCGAGCGTTCCAATCCTTGTTTTAAGCATCACTGAGTGAATGCTTGGCAAGGGGATGCCCGATCCGGGGTTGTAAATTGTAGTGTCTTTATGGGGGAAGACTTAAAAAAGGAGGGAGAAATGCAGTTGCACTGGACTGGGTAAATCTTAGGTGATCAGATAGTTAATTGGTAGAGCATCTGTCAGGATTTCAGAGCGTCCGAGGGGTTCGAGTCCTGGTCTATCTGTTACATTTCTCTTTCTCCTGTTACCATTGTTGTGTAACCCAGATTTACAGGATTTATAACAAGTGACATTTTATGTTACGACAGGTGATGTGTTTGTTGTGTACGTGAAGGACAAAGGTTCACGTAATCTCAACCCTGATCACCTGTATAATGAAAGTTTGAAGAAAATCATAACACACCCAGAACTGTCCGTTCTCAGTGGAAAACAACGTGTATTGACAACGTATGAAGAGTTTACGACGTTCCAGTGCACTCACCTAGCCAAGAGTTTCATGAGGACTCTGAAGAGATAGAAGCAGTGCCACGCAATGACAAGCAGACCTGTTTAGATTTACCTTAAGGATAATTATTAGTTTAGCATGTTTTTAACTTCTTTCCAAAAGATTTTCACTCCGGAAAATCCTGTTTTTAGTTTTGAAGTAAATAATTGATATTAAATGAGATATAAACAAAAACCGTACCGTATTGGTACTATTAAAAACACATCGGCAATTATTATAACGCATTGGAAAGCGGAAGTAGAGGATGGGTATGTACAAAATGTTTGACAAAAGGATTTTCAAACCCCTGTCAAGAACTTTTACATGATATGGTATGAGAAGTGTCCATGAATCCAACTGTCTGCCAATCCACCTTTGGCTCAAGCGCTATTGATTTATATGAAACTTGATAAGCATGTACAATTTACAATGAATGAGGTTAAGTTTAAAGATGAGCAAAATCTGTGTATAATTAATAGGAAGGTGGATAACTGAAAGTCTCTACACTACCTAGAGTAGGTATGGGAAGTGGGATAACTGTCTACAGTACCTAGAGTAGGTATGGGAAGGGGGATAACTGTCTACAGTAACTAGAGTAGGTATTGGAAGGGAGATAACTGTCTACAGTACCTAGAGTAGGTATTGGAAGGGGGTTAACTGTCTACAGTAACTAGAGTAGGTATGGGAAGGGGGATAACTGTCTACAGTACCTAGAGTAGGTATTGGAAGGGGGATAACTGTCTACAGTACCTAGAGTAGGTATGGGAAGGGGGATAACTGTCTACAGTAGCTGGAGTAGGTATGGGAAGGGAGATAACTGAATAAAAATGTTAATGATGTTGTGGGAGATAATCAGATAAAAATTGTTGTGATTATAACATGTTTTTGCATTTGAAAATTATTTCAATGCATAGTTTTATCTTGGTTTGAGGTTATGTAACTCAGTATAATCAGAGACGTATATATGTTATATATACTTCTCTGGTATAATATAGTCTTACGATATAGTTTCACACCAGGGCAGGGTTGTGAAATTGTAATGTGATTACATGTGGTGTTTTCAAAATTCAGAAAAGTAGTTTTTACATTACAGTACCTATACTTTTGGTCTCTGAAGCAACATGGTACAGTGGGCCATACAGAGAACCTCTAAAATAAAATATCACATTGTTTACTCTTGGCCATGTCCGATAAATGTATCATCATATTTTGTTACTAAATTTGTATGGCCTGGTGGTTGTGTGAACTAGTATGCATTTGAACTAGTATAAAAAAAAAAAAAAAAGTTTTGTATGAAATATTGTTTATACAAACTAGTATTCCTACAATCTAATATTTGCATGAACTAGATTTTGTATGAATTAGCCTTTGTATGAATAAGGTTTTGTATGAACTAGGAAAAACTATCAGACTTTGATTTTTATGAAATATTATTATTTATTTGTTTTGTAAAATTATACAGATATATGTACATGTAAACAACCTGTGGATGGAGGATGGAATATTGCTTGAAGTAATACATGTACAATGTATAAATTGTTGGCAGTGTTGTTGTTTTTAGACGTGATCAGTACACTGTATTTCAGGGTTTTTTAAGCATGAATCAAATTTTGTGAATTTATTCTCCTTTAAAATGCTACTCAACCCTTATGGCTCATTGGATTTTGACTAAATTTGACCTGGAGGATCCTTGGGCAAAGTGGACTCAATTTGTATATACAGTCCTATTCTGTCATATTGGCCCAAGGCTGCAGCCCGAGGCCTAATAACTTGGCCAATGTGGAATTAGTTGATTAATGACATTTTATTAATGAACTACTTGTATAAGTACAAGTTGTTTAACGCTGTGTATTGGTCAACTGGTTGACAGAACAGTGAAAGATGTACATGTATATCATTGGCATTAATCTGAAATTAACAAAAATAAACTGATTGAATTCAACAAATTTAATAACAATAATTTCAAAATATTGGTCAGTTGATTACTTCCTGTGAACTTGACATGGACTGACTGTACTTCGCTTTTTTCGGGGGCGGCATTATATTGATATTTATGGTACCCCCTGAAATATGTGCACCACTTACAGGGAAAGGGGCAGACAACTTTGTAGTTCAGAATTCGCCATTGAGTATGTACGACTAATATATCATTAAGCAATGTTTGGCTTAACACACTCAACACTTTGTATGCCATGCATTAAAACCGATAGCATGCATCTGTGGGATGCTCGCTCCATGGTTTGTTGTCTTCTGTCGTTGTAAATAACAGTTACTGAAGGTGAATGTAGTCATCCGTCATCCTCGATAAGCATAGAAATGTTACGAATAACAGGGGCCTAGCTGGTATATAAATCTTGAAAAATTGACTGATAAATGTTTATTTTTTTGTAGTTTAACAACAACTGTTTTGAAGTTTAAATAAAATCAGTTGATAAGTATACTGGTGCATTTTATAATCAAATATACAAATAATACGAATCTAAGGATGAGCGAGTGGTAAAGATCTAAATACACTGTATGGCAATATTAGCAGGAGTTTTCAACTAGTTCTCACTGACAATATCTTTTAAAATACTGTTATATAAACACGAATATGATATCCAAAACAATTAAAAACTAAATTCAACTTTTTATTGGTGGGAGGGTGGTTCCTAATATCGAAGAGTCAACTAAGTTACAGAGTGAACTCAAAATCGATAAAATTAGGGGGAAATGTGAGCATAGGCATGGAGACCCTTGAAACATACAAGGAGAATAAGACCATGTGGTTCAGAAATGTAAGAGTCTTCTGCGTCATCGATGACATACAGCATTTAAAGCTAGGTAAACTCCTAGTTATGCTACGTCCTCGTCATGAGAATTCAGAAAGTGACAACAAAACCACTATTATGAGCATAATAACAAAAACATCGCCCTTCATATCACACAAAGAAATAGCATATTTCCCTGTTACTATAATTTATGATGCCGACATTAAAACTTGCCAATATACTACATTAACCTGCATTTTCGGAAACTCTGCGCTGTAAGTTTGTCCGACAGTAGTCGAAATCTATGATATCATGATGAAGTCCTGAAGTTATGCTATTTGGATCAAGCTCTTGAATACAGACCGAATCAACTGTAACATTGGGAACAGGGATGTTACTTTCAAGAAAGGGAAAAATCATAATCGGAACATCAATATCATCCTGCTTATCGTACGGCGTAATTGTAAGAGGTGTCTTTTATGTTGTGAGTAAAGATTGAGGAATGCGGCTAAGGTTTAAGAGCCAGTAGTTTCTTTAATTTCAAGCTCGGGAGGGTACACAAGCTCTACAAAAGCTCGGGAGGGTACACAAGCTCTACACAAGCTCAGGAGGGTACACAAGCTCTACACAAGCTCGGGTGGGTACACAAGCTCTACACAAGCTCGGAAGGGTACACAAGCTCGGCTGGGTACACAAGCTCTACACAAGCTCAGGAGGGTACACAAGCTCTACACAAGCTCGGAAGGGTACACAAGCTCGGCTGGGTACACAAGCTCTACACAAGCTCGGGAGGGTACACAAGCTCTACACAAGCTCGGGAGGGTACACAAGATTGATGTGGTCAATAAATGTCCTGTTATTAAAGACAACACATCGTCGATAGGAATATCTACAGTCTGCTCACCGATGGAAAGTTTTGCTGAACTCCTCAACGATATTGTCAAATAGGGACAGAATCATTTATTTTAGCCTTTGTTGTGTTATTCACAAAATATGGTCCAAAACAATGTACAATTATACATATATTTTGCAGTTCGCCACTCATTTTGAAAAGAAAGCTCTCAGAATAAGAGAACGAAGGTGTTCCGTCTGTTTGGTATGAGGATTGGTAATTTAAAAGGGTCGGAAAGTCAAAAGATTGATAGAGGATACATTTTTGAGAAGAGGATGGTCAAGAGAGATCAAAAGATCTTTCGAAATTCTTCCAAATCAACATTCCATTTATTCCACTTACCGAGTATACAGTCACAATGCAACTGTAACCCTAATGAAATGGTACCAGGAATGGTATAATAAAATTGTTTAACGCGGTTGAACAACAAGATGAACCCACGATTAAACGTTGTGTATAAGGATTCTTGTAAAATTTTGGAATCAAATACAAACAAGGCAGGTCGGTATCTTTATCATTATTGGGTATGAGGAAAGATTGTAATACAGAAGCGTGATAAGCTAGTTTTTCTTTTTCGCAGAGAAAGATTAAAATATTAAATGTTATGTCTGCATGCAGAGACAAATGCATGCCTATCATATGAACTGTTGAGTGTGATTTGGACATTGGGGTCCGGACATAATCATCTTAACCTTTTCACTCCTGTGTAACTTTAGTAGACTCTACCATGCATTGATATGGAGGGGTCCATTATGGTCTACAGTTGTGAAAGGGTTAATTACTAAGTACTTACAGGGTAGGTGGCTTTCGTCCCATCGTGTAAGGAGAATGGTCACCTTGTCATAATCTGCAAGCCATTGAGTAGCCTCGGAAGACGAGACAGTTTCACTGCAAGAGGGATCTTATGACTGGGTCTCTGAACTTTTTAGGTCACCTGAGACAAAGCCTCAAGTGACCTATTGCGATTGCCTTTTGTCCGGCGTCGTCCGTCGTGCGTCCGTAAACAATTTACATTTTCGACTTCTTCTCCAAAACCCCTGAACCAATTTCAATGAAATTTTGCAGAAACCTTCCATGGCCAAAGGTCTACTAAAATTGTGAATTATATGGTCCCCAGCCCCAAAGGGCCTGAGGGGCGGGGCCAAAAAGGGTAAAATTGACTAAAATTTCAAAAATCTTCTTCTCAAGATCCAGATATGGTAGAATCAAATACTCTTCATAGATAGAAGGGTCTTAAGGTGCTTTACTAAAATTGTGAATTTCTTGACCCTGGGGTCTCACGTTTCCCCCTGGGGAGGGGGTAAACTTTACTATAGTTTATATAGGGAAATCACATTTTGGACCAACATTTGTTTAATTGCCATTGGAAGTAATTCAATTTGGGTTAGAATTATCAGTATTGGATAGCAGTTTGATGGTATGCGCATATCAGCCCTGACTGTCCCCCTGGGGCTGATGGGTGGGGCCAAAAAGAGTTGAATTGACTGAAATTTCAAAAATCTTCTTCTCAAGACCCAGATATGGTAGAATCAAATACTCTTCATAGATGGAAGGGTCTTAAGGTACTCTACCAAAATTGTGAATTTCATGACCCTGGGGTCTTGCGTTTCCCCCCTGGGGAAGGAGGGGGGGTGGCAAAATTTGTTATGGTTTATAATGGCAAATGATACTTTAAATATTACATGTTGAGAACTTGATTGGAATTATAACCCTAAGTTGACAGTTTGATACTTTGTACATTTTGAGCCATCCCTACCCCCAAGGGCTGTAGGGTGGGGCCCAATGGAGTCTGTGTGCTAAAATAAAATTTCTTCATTTTCCTTGTTTAGAATCAGAGGTGCTAGTTTCAAATTCTTTTCAGTCTTAAATCTGCATGCTAGATACTGAATAAGGTGGTTTTATTGTTTTTTGTCACTTTGAATAATATTTCTGTTCATGTTAAAACAAAAATCAACTCTCTGTATAAATGTATCAGGTGACTGTTAAGGCCCATGGGCCTCTTGTTATATTCAAAATTTTCCGAACCACAAACTTGTTTAAAATAAGCTTGAAACTTGTATAGCTCTTTTGTCGATTACAAGATGTTTTTTAACGGAAAAACTGTAAAACTTGATTTTCGTACTTTGTACTAGACCTATACAAAACATCCTGGACATAGTAGTCTTTAATTCTAATGCATACACATATTTGATTTTTCAATTTCTTGAAATAATACTGATAAAAAAACAAACAGAAAAATTATGTTGGCACATGCCTACTCGAGCCTAAGGCAGCTACGCTACTGACTATTATGCCCATTGGCGTGCGTTCGATTGGAACATTATCGATAATGGCCCCGTTTATCCAGTATTGACCCAGTTTATCCCATATTGGCCCAGTTTGTTATTATATTGGGCAGTTTTCTCATATTATTGTCAATATGCAAGTAGTTAATGAATAGTTCATTCAATAAAACTATTTTCCCTTTGTTTGCTTTATTATCCAGGCCCACTGGGACTCTTGTTTGTTCTATTTTTGTGTGTTAATGTGTGGTTTTATTCTTTTGGGTTGGAGTAGATTTGTATAACTTGTTTTTTGTTTTTTTTACAATTTCACAGCAATCCATATGTCCTTTTAAAAAACTGAAAATACATCTGTAAGCTGACAATGAAAACAATCAAATAAAACCAAGAGTTTTTTGCCCCAAGGTCTTTCTCATCCTAGATTTGATCAACAAACGGCACAATGACATATTTTGAAAATAACCATCATTTATTAGTTGGATCAACTGTGTGGTTTTCCAAGTGTGTAAGTGTATGACACTATTGTTGAATTCTTGAATAAATTTTCATCGTTTATACTCATTATCAGTGCTCAGTATAAATGTATTGATTGTGAAATGGGGATTCACTCCTGTTGACCTTCGTTATATGATCAGAATCTTTCATTTGTTTTTTTTTATTGAAACTTCATTATTTTGTGACTTGAGTGAAAATAAGATACCCTTAAAAAAACCTGATATATGCGATGATGAAGAAATGGTATTTTACAATTGATTTTTTTTTAAATATTTTTAGCTCACCTGCCCGAAGGGCAAGTAAGCCTTTATGATGGTCTGGCGTCCGGCGTCATTCGTCTGAAGAACGGACAGGCCAATTCATATTGACAACTGTGACCTTGAATATGGGCGAAGGTCATTCATTTGAACAAACTTGGTAGCCCTTCATCCCAGTATGTTACAGGCCAAATATCATCACCCTAGGCCTCTTGGTTATTCAGAAGAAATTGTTTAATTGTTTAACCATATTTGACCCCTGTGACCTTGAATATAAGTCAAGGTCATTTATTTGAACAAATTTGGTAGCCCTTCATCCCAGCATGTTTCTGGCCAAATATTATCACCCTAGGCCCTTTGGTTACTGAGAAGAAGTTGTTTTAAGTAAAAAGTTGACACCGGCCGGACGCCACAAGCTCACTTGGCCCACCGGGTCACGTTACAAATTTCTGAAATACACATATATGTGTGTTGTGACCCGTATCAGTATAGCATATGTGTATTTCAGACATTTGTAACGTGACCCTGTGCTTGGCTCTTTGAAATCTTTCACCTGTTGATTATATATACAGGTTCAACAAAGCACCAAATCACTAGGCCCGTAACTATTACATAAACAACCCATCCTCGATATACCAGGGGTTACGCTTACTTTTGTTGTTCAGAAAGCGAAAGTGAGCGTAACACCTGGAGTATCGAGGGTGAAACAATCCTTAACAAACCGCTTGGAGCGAGATAAACACAAACTGCCCATGAGTACAGTGCAGGATCCTGAGCGACACTTTGAAGAAAATTGATGAACATTTGTCAAAGTTCACTTTCAAATATTTCTCAACGTTGTACACGTGCATGCCAGTTGGTTATATATTTCAGATTTCAACAACCAGTGCAAAACTGCTTTTGTTGATGATATTCAATTGTTGATATTTTGGGGTTTGGTTTGGTTTAGTATTGATCATTTAAGGATGGCCTCCCCTATGTGCTAGATGCATGCGTGTAGTGTATGCGTGTTTTGGGAGGCTGCAATATGTTGGTGTTTGTCTCTTATGATAGCGCGGAACTGATGCCAACTTTCTACTGCTAACTCACCGAATCATACTGCCGAAGTCACCCAGCAGGACACCAGGTCTCATTATACCGACAACGGACGAACCAGTCGTCCCATTCCTAAATTGCTGAGCGTTAAGCAGGAGTATAAACTACCATTTTTACAGACTTTGGTATGTCTCGGCCAGGGAACAGAACCCAGTCTTCCTCACAGGGGCGAAAGCTCAACTAAATGCCAAAAGTAAGGCATTGTCAACGGAGACATTAGGAAGAAGAAAGTTGTCTAGAAAGAAGAGAAGAGATAAGATCCCAAATTTAGTCGCCTCTTACTATCAAGCAATGGTGGCAACAGGTACAATTTTTACGCCCTACCTGCAGAACAAATTTGGGGATATATTTGTTATTTATGAAGAAATATTTCCAAAAGCTGGAGGACGAGTTGGTTACATCTTCTCAGTTTCAACAATAACAACTTTGCTTGGCTAGAAGTGGATTTGGTGCCTACACATTGTGGGATTTTTTACACGTTTATTACTCCTATTTTATAAGCATGATTTATCTCGGTGTGGGGGAACAAATAATCGTACTTCTCTGAAACAAGGGCACTGGATATCATACCATACCTAAAACAATAACAGAATAGTGAGTCTGGTTGTTGCACCATTGTTGTTGTTTGCTTCAGTCATTCGGGTGTGTCTGTTCTTGCCAATTTTTCTAAGAGACTCTGAATAAGGGGAATATGACGGGGAACCTCAAGCGCTCGAGGGCGACCCGCCGTTATATAGATGAGGTATGACATTTTCTCACCAATGACCATACAAGTGGGCCATGTCGTATTATTCCTCATCTGTAGAGATTCAGTGTTTCAAGAATGATATGAAGACATCCATGTCATAAAATGGGGTTGCTGCATTAAGTTCTACAACATTTTAACCTTTTCAAGCCACCAGCACAATTTTTAATTTATGACAGACTAATCTCGCGACTCTAAAAGGCCTCTTGTCCATTCCGGTGATTAAATGTTAAAATGTGTGACCTTGAAATTTGGTCAAGGTCAATCATTTTGATTTTTCATCAGTTGTTTCATTCAAACAAACTTGACATCTCCCTTATTCCAGCATGCTACAGGCCGAATATCATCACCCTATTTTTTTTCTTTATTCATTTAAAGGTTTTAAGGAATTGACGCATGCTGGGTCAAAATCAAGTTTCTGTTGTCCGATTAATAAATTAAGCTGTTAGGATGTTTTCCCATTTTAATATAATCAAATACAAATATACCTTTTTCTTTGTACATGTCATTATCATAACATTTTTAGGGTATGCTTTCATAAAACTATTACTTCCTGCAAATTTTAGTAGCCTCTATTTTTCAGTAATTATAACAATTTAATTTTGACCACTGCCTGTAATTTAATATGGCAACCAGGCTGCAAGTGGCCTTAGCATTATTAACATTTTCACTATATTTAGCAATAAATTCCGATTGAACAGCATGGTCAACAGACGGTTACAGACCTGTCATTTCAATGATATTTTGCGGTTTTTTTTATCATTATTACAATGTTAATCAATGTATATCCTGGTGCTTTCTTGCAGAGTTCATTTCCTTAAAAATATTAATATAAAAAAAAAATCTTAATGAAAACACAAATCTGTTCTTTATATCTCGTCATCCAAATATTCTTTAATAATCACTTTAATTGTTATTAATATGAAAATATGGTCAGGTATCTTTGTTCAGAGATGCCTACATACACTTTGTGATTAAATTTACTTTGAATCTTAAATGAAATAACAGAGAGTAGGAAAAGCATATTGCATAATGATGATGACTGGAGAGGGGACTCTACTCAAGCTCTCTTCTCTACATGGTCTACATATAAAGTATTGATTTATTTCTAGGCTAGCACTTCCTGTAATTGACGTGACCTGCAGCAAGCAGGATGTTTATTTCCTAACATTTACTGATGAAATTGACATTTTGTCCAGTGCTATAGATGTGTAAATCAGGCATCGATAAAATAAATGTAGAAATCTCGACTCTCAAACAGTAGTATAAATAATTTATTAAGTATGTACACATTACAGAACATGTATATATATGGTTCCAATATTGTTAAGTACATGTATATAAAATACAATTAAAATGAGTTATAAAGGATGTTTTACAAATATACATACAATCTACATCTCAACAGCAATTCTTTTCTCTATGATGTCTCCGATGGGATTTCAAGTTACATGCCACACTAAATCCCTCACCACAGACATCACATTTGTAGGGCTTCTCTCGTGTATGTGTCCTGAGGTGTGCCTGTAGGTGAGGTGTCTGACTAAACCCCTTACCACAGACATCACATTTGTAGGGCTTCTCTCCTGTATGTGTCCTGCGGTGTTTCTGTAGGTGATGTGCCCGACTAAACCCTTTCCCACAGACATCACATTTGTAGAGCTTCTCTCCTGTCTGTGTCCTGAGGTGTGACTGTAGGCTATGGGCCTGACTACACCCCTTACCACAGATATCACATTTGTAGGGCTTCTCTCCTGTATGTGTCCTGAGGTGTTTATGTAGGTGATGTGCCCGACTAAACCCTTTACCACAGACATCACATTTGTAGGGCTTCTCTCCTGTATGTGTCCTGAGGTGTGACTGTAGGCTATGTGCCTGACTACACCCCTTACCACAGACATCACATTTGTAGGGCTTCTCTCCTGTATGTGTCCTGAGGTGTTTCTGTAGGTTACCTGTGTCACTAAACCCCTTACCACAGACATCACATGTGTAGGGCTTCTCTCCTGTATGTGTCCTGAGGTGTCTCTGTAGGTTAGGCGCCCAACTAAACCCCTTACCACAGACATCACATTTGTATAAACGTTCTGTTCCCTTGCTGGAGATATTCCTTTGATCATTTGTGTAGTTACTCAGTCTTCCATCCCTATTGACATTTTCCTTCATTTTCAATTTGTAATGTCCATTTTTTATCCTTTTTTGACATTCATTCTTAAACAGCAAGTTTTGTTTTGTATGCAATTTCAATTCCTTCCTATTATTATCTCTCTTCACTTTCTCCAACATTTTCCTTGCTAGGTCAATAGTGAACTGAGAGACTCCATGCTTGCTTTTGCTGTGTCCAAGTATGCCAACTTCAGAGCTGAAACAACTCCCACAAAACGGACACCTAAACATTTCTGGGGGAAAAAAATAGTGAGAATTATTTGATGACCTTTTTAACATAAATTACATTTCAAATACCTGAATTCTACTAACATCAAACTATGCAGACACTTCAACTATGACAATTCACAATTAAGGAAAAAGACTATATAAATTAAATTTAATCTGTGTAAAGACCCTGTTTGTTTATATGCTGTGAATGGCACATCGACATGCAAGTTGTTACTTAGTTCCATGATGGCAGGGTCTTTTAAAATTTTTGAAAAGTACTGTCAAAATGTGGTTTCTTGGTTCCTATCCATGTTCAAACCCAGTGTTCATGAAATATTTATATCACCAAATACTAATTAAGTGTCAAAGCATTTGTTTTTATCTTACTGGTTCCATTGACAGTGAATGGTTTCAGTTCAGTCGAGTCCTCCCATCTTCTGATGCCAAGCTCCTCGCTGTAGTCCTCTCCGTACCACACAAGCAGCTCAGTATCTGGGTTGATAACCTTGTGTGTCCTGTAGTATATTTGGCCCCTGTGTTGGTAGGCTGTCATGTTCTGCTCATCTTCATTCCTCGCACAATTTACGTATCTCATCCAATTAGCTTGGTTTTTATCAAAGGCATCGATGAAAAAGCTTGGTTTGCCATTCTCATAAATCTGAAAGAAAAAGATGTACTGTAAGAGCAAGCTGATTGATCATCCATCTGTTAACAGGAAAACATTGTTTACATCAATGCAAGTGTGAACATTTCATTTCATTTTACACCATCGAATGAAGTTTCTTGAGACTTCTAAACAACCATTTCTTGACAAGCATTTTTTAGTTTTATAGTTCTATGCGCTACATCCCACTAGATGAACATTACCAGCAGAAATGCATACCATTTGAGCAAAAACTCTCGTGACGTAACACGTTGCTTACTTATGACGTCATACATAAACCTTGTTCAATGACAGTCTTGTCGCGCCGCTTCGGATAAAATGGAGAATGCCCCTGCGTCAAACGATCAAATGACTCAGTTAGTTATTGGCGCCAATTTTTATTTAAAAAGGGCTGTTCCGTCATTTTCATTTAAAGGACGACGCATATACAAAACACAGTAAATGAATCAATTATTTAAGAACAAAGAAATAAAACTCAACAATTGTTCTATAGATGTAGTAAAAATGTTAATATATGGATTGAACGACGTTATTTTTAAATTGTCATAGCGGGCTTCATGCAATATGTATGTCACCAATTTGTGTTCATATGGGCATGATTTTTTTTTTTAAACGCCATTCAATCCATATATATATAAAAAAAAATCCTCATCAGTTACAGGATATCAGATATACGTAAAAGAGATATTTGACCTGATGAAAGTCGGGGACATACATGTAGTAATAGCTGATTACATGAAGTACAATATATAGGAACAAGATCTTGCCAACAGTATGATCTAGCTGGGGTAGGGATAGGTAATCAACCATAATAAAACCTATGCAAGCTTGAATTTGTCACTTCTTTTTTCATACTGTTGGACTAATAGTCTTGCCAATAGTAAATGCATTATGCTTCAACTTAAATTTTGTGCATGATTAAAACTTTATGATTATTCAAACTAAAGTTGCCATTTGCCCTCTGTACTAAAACAGATATCAGTTTTATGGCTGTCATATTCACTTTGGATCAAGCAGTTTTGAGCTCAAAACAAACCTATCAAATTAAGGATATAACTGCCTGGTAGCAATCTTGTTTTTCTGATTAGTCTCAAAATGAAATATGCACACCTAAGGAACAAGGGATTTATTGACAAAATTTTAAAAGAAAGATATGTGGCGTCATTTTTGAGAAACAGCAATAACAATATTTAAATGCCAAAATCAAATATGGCAGCCATTTTGTTCTTTCAATTAGTATCAATATTATTCATGCACAATTAAGAGGATTATAAATAGTGATAAGGTGATCCAGTAATTCATGAAAAGAAGTTCATTTACGATAATAATTATTTAGTGATGTTGATTGATGTCGATGTCTTCAAAAGTCTAATAACATTTGGAAGAACATGTTTTTTGAAATTTTAGACACAGGTATAGGTTGTCATATACCTGCCAGGCATATCCAGTGGAGTGTGCTTTGTCTAAATCTTGAGTTTTCTCCCCCTTGTAGGGACCAAATCTTGTCCTGGGTGAAATCTTATAATCAGACCAGATACCCAGGCCAGCATTTTGTATAGATGATTTTCGTACACATAGGCCAGGTGGCAAGGTATAGAGGGACCGTTCTTTATCCTTTGGTTTGATCTGCAGATTTAAAATGGAACACAACAGTTCCCTGATCCTAACTTCTCTTTGCCAAGTCACACACATCAGAGAACAATATTGGGACAATGATCTTAAAATAGTGGTTCTTAAAGTAATTTCACACAGCATACAAGTTATATAATATTAATGACGCTACATAATATGCACAATTTAACTAGCATCAAAACAGCTTCAGTGAAGCTAACTGTAACTTGTTGTCTTGACCTTCAAGGGGTGAAGGTCAAGACAACAAGTTAGTTATTTGTCTTTTAACATTTTAATTGAGACAATGACCAGAGCAATACTAGTATAAGCTGAATTGGCCCATCTGTCTTGCTTACAACAGTAAATGAGTATATATATGCCTCAATTCAGTTCTGGCAGCAAATCCACCTGAAAGTCACCTGCAGGAAAATTGTGTGCAAATCTGTATAATCTGTTTTACAATATTTCTATGTAGACATGCTACCCATTGTCTGCATATATCCAGTAAAATGCAGAGTTTTTATAATCATCTGTATACATCAGATTAGTTACATTGAGACCCGTGGAATATATCTGCTAGGGCTACCGGTACAAATAGAACTTTGTATGACATATGCTCAGAGAGCATTTTTTTTTTTTTAGCAATGGTGACCTTGAACTCCGACTGCCTGCCCAATCAATAGGCTTATTTGAAATCACTTGGGCATCCAGCACACCAAGTTTGAACTTTGCACAGAAAATCATTATATTGGGACAAACAATGAAGCATTTTTTTTATATATTTTGTAATGATGAACTTGACCCCTGGCAGACCACACCTTTAACTCATTCACACCTGAAATTTCAAAATGAAGTATTCCAACATTTGAATTGGAAGAGCTCAAATGTGTTTTCAGGGGTAAATAGGTTAAACAATAGGGTTCTTTGCAACCCACATACCATGTTAAAACTTTGCATCTACTAGGGCAACCACACACCAAATTTGAAGTCTGTATGATAATTTGTTCTCAAGTCATTATTTGGAAAAGTGCAAGACTACTGGCAGACAATGGGGCAACCAACACACCAAGTTCTCATCCAGACAAACACTAGTAACCCTTTCACCACTGTAGACCATAATGGACTCATCCAGATCAATGCATGGTAGAGTCTACTAAAGTTACATAGGGGTAAGAGGGTTAACAGATAGACAGACTCCCCGCCCGACAGCTATATTCCCCCTGAATTCTTTCAGTGCATATTGAGAAACTCTTAATTTGTTAAATATTCATTCTACATCAGTGAAATGTCTATTCATGATCAACAACTGTTAATTTTCCCATCACAGTGGAAATTAGCAGAGTAAACTGGACTGAAAATTTTACCACTAGCAAGTTCTTCATTATGCATATATAATGCAAAAGCATTTACAACAGGTGTCCATTATTATATACCTCAGTGTCCTCAACTATGACTAGTGGTCCGTGCACAGGGCAATCTCCTTCATACTCCTTGTTACACTCCTCACAATCTGTGGAAATACACAAAATTGTACAACATTTAATAATTGAAGGAATCATTCATTTATTGAACAGCAGTCAACAACAAATTGTACTTTTTACTCATAAAGGATTTGATAAGGTTTAACATTTCTGTAATAGAAAATAGATTCATCCAAAACTTCAACCCCTATATTTTAAGATCCCAATTAAACATCAGAATTCATACGTAATTTGCATATACATGTATGTATTGAACATATTCTTTAGTTATGGCCGATCTAAGTATATTTCAATTTCTATATCAATGTCATGTGGAACTTAATTTCTCTTATACTAAATGCCCGGAGGCTCACCAGCTAAAACCAAAATGGGTGTGCTTTTCTGAAACCACAAGTTTCATGTGGTAAAATGCTCAAGTGTCATATTTTACCGATACATGTATATAAATTTAAAACCAAGGTTCATGTCACCATGATCTTCATGAATTAATAAATTTACAGTCAGTGTCTTCGTATATTTAGCATTGATATAAACAAGAGATCCCAGAGGGATCTTGGCGCCCACCATTAATTGTACCATCTTGAATTAGTTCCGGGCCATGTCAGTTTGATCTTTTCTCATGTTCTGTTTGTCCTAGTCATGATTACAGTAAATATATATTGAGGTTACTTTTTATCTACACTTCATACTGCTGTGTGTAAAAGATAACCTTTAATGTGTGTTTGTCGTTTCACATATTTACAAGTACAGTTCTTAATGTGAAAGAAAAAGAGCAGGTCATTGCAATATGAGAAAGATCTGTTAGGTTCTTCCTACAGACATACTGTTTTTTATCATCTCTCACGATAAAACAGCCACAACTAAGGCTTAAGTTAACATGCACAACTATAAGGACTAAGGTGAACCTACATATTAAATTTGAGAAAGACCCCTCCTGTACATTCCGAGAAATAGCGCTAACTTTAATTCTCCAATTCAAGATGGCTGTTTATTGGCCATCTTGGTTTTCCATTCAGTCTCAAAATTTGATATGCGTAAGTAAGGACCATGGGGTCCCTTTATGCAAAATTTGAAAAACAATTCAAGATGGCTGTATGTTGGCCATCTTGGTTTTGTGATCAGTCCCAAAAAATGATATGGATAACTAGGGACCATGGGAAAACGTCTTTTTAATGTAAAACATTAGAAAGATCCCCCTAGTACTTTCTGAGAAATAGTGCTAACAAGAATTGTTTAAGGATGAACGGAATGACTGATGATGGACCACGGACGCAGGGTGATTTGAATAGCCCACCATTTGATGATGGTGGGCTAATAAAAGAGATCTTTCAGCCCAAAGTCGTGTATAAGCTTATAAGGTGGGGATATCAGCTGTTTCAAAGTGAAGACCAAGGAACTAAGGCCTTTTAAAATGATGTAGCAAGACTCCAGGGTCAAGTCTTATATCATGATTCAGTCCATTTCTTCATGACTAACAATTGTATATGTTTCTAAAGTAGGGATTTCAACTGTTTCAAATTTACAACCCAGGAACTAAGTCTCGTTGGGGCCAGATCCTGGAGCCCTATTTGAATGTGTTGCCTTAAACTCAGCAATTGTACATGTATATACATGGTTATAGGGTAAGGATCTTAATTACGTGTAGGCCGTCTCGGTTTTGTGATCAGTCCCATAATTTGATATGCATAACTAAGGACCAAGGGGAACCTTGTCATGAAATTTCCGAAAAGATCCCTCCAGCACTTTCCGAGAAATAGTGCTTACAAGAATTGTTTAAGGATGGACGATAGACCACGGACACAAGGGTATTTGATTAGCCCACCATCTGACGATGGCAAGCTAAACAAGAGTACCGCAGGACGGAACAATATACGCCCGTTGAATGCCATATGGTGTTATATACTATCTTGCATTAAAATAAGATTTGCATCACCTTAAGAGTGGCTAGCTAGCATGCTGTAAATATCACCTTTCACTACAAAGTCAATGTTCAATTTTCTTTAATTTTCAAACAGTTTGAGGAAAGCAAGTAATCAAAAGATTAGTCTCCAACTCATTAAACAAAACTTGATATCATGACTATAAGTATAAAGCCTACCAAGTTTCACAGAAATCGATAGAAAACTGTAGAAGATCTCAGGACAAGATTCAAGTACTAGAAATAAACAAAGGGCAATAACTTCTACAAAAATTGAAGCATTTTTTTCTCTCAAAGAAACATAACTATATTTCATGACTATAACGATTTCCAAGTTTCAAAGAAATTGGTCGAAAAAAGTAGGAGGAAATTTCAGGACAAAAAACAAATACTGAAATGAACAAAGGGCAATAACTTTTGCAAAAATAGTTGAATCAAAATTGTTTTCATGTAAACACAACTTCATATCATGGGTATAATGTATACCAAGTTTCCAAAAGATCGGCCAAAAAATGTAGAAGGAGATTGCCGGACAAAAACCAAATACTTAAATAAACAAAGGGCAATAACTTTTGCAAAAACTGTCAAATCAAAATTCTTTTCCGGGTTACACAACAACATATCATGATATTAAAGCCTACTAAGTTTCAAAGAAATCAGTCGAAAAATGTAGGAGGTCTCCGGATAAAAAATCAAATACTGAAATAAACGAAAGGGAATAACTTTTGCAAAAATAGTTGAATCAACAAAATTCTTTTTAGGGAAACACAACTTCATATCAGGATTATAATGTATACCAAGTTTCAAAGAGATCGCTCGAAAAATGTAGGAGGAGATTGCCGGACAAACAAAAGTTTACGCCGGCCAGACAATGCCATACCATAATACTCCCTTCAAATTCGACGGGCATATAAAAAGCTGTACAGACAGAATTTGTATTGAATTATGGAAAGAATCACAACAAAATCAGGATTATTGGCAGGTTTGCAAGTCAAAAATGTAATCGTTATGCACGATGGACAAGAGGCAATTGCATTAGGCTTATAGAAATTAATTTCATTATTTCAGAAAAAGAGAGGTAAAGTTGGAAGCCCTTGATTAATCCCATAATTCCAACTGAATTCTTTACAGTAGCCTTGGTAGTCACTTTTAAATTCATACTCGATCATCACTTCCAATCAAGTGACTGATGATCAACTTATGATCGATAAAATTAACTTAAATTCAGTAATTTAAGGTTATATTCGCTTTCCGAAATCTACTTTCACTTTCGTTTCCAGGGAAACCAGACGTTAGAGATTTTTGCTTATAACGCACAACATTCATACCAAAAAAACAATGAGTTTGTTGAAAGAACCTTATGATTATTGAAAAATATGTATTTGGAAATGAAATTGATGATGTTTGCAATGTCCATTATGCTGTGACAGCTGCATCTCATATTCAGAAATGCCGCGATGGATTGGCGTTCACCTGATGACACCCCGTCAAACTTAACATTTTATTTGTAAGATAGCCCACACTTTTGACAAAGCGTTTTATTTATAGCCCACACTTTCGACAAAGCGTTTTATTTATATCCAGCTAAGGAGGAACAATACCTTCCAAACATTTAAACCAGTAGCCCCCGGATGATCATAGAGTTTAAATCTCCGGAATGTCCTGGTTTACCATATGGTCACACACTGACCGAGCCATGCAGCATTTCTATTGAAACGGTAGTTCTGATTGGTTGTCGGGTGGACCAGCTAGCCAATTAGTGTCGTCGTTGTGTGGAACGTTAGGTCACGTTGTTTTGCCGAAAATAACACTATCAGAGTTTAATTTTTGTTAATACTTTAATTAGTCAAACTATAATTGATCATGGAAAACAAGTATCGATTAATCGATTTTCAGAAACAAACAACCAGACATCGACTAAATCGATTAATCGGAACAACACTACAAGTTTACAGTGCTTGGGTATGTATAATTGACACCTACAAAGAAATTCATCATCATCTGGGACCTCAATCTTCATATAACTAACAGCCGAAGAAGCTGGTCTCAAAGGGTATGTGTGGATAGGCATCTTGCTGTCTGTATTCTTTTTAATTTCATGTTTTTCTGGTTTTATGTTTGGCACCTTTTCTATTTTCTGAAACAAGAAATTATATAATAATTAAAAAAAAAACAAAGAAAAAGAAACAAGACATGCAGGTCTGTATCGCTAACTGGATACACAAGCTGTTACAATTAAATTCAAAATATTTTATGGATTTTCCATGCTTCAGCTAGGGATGAGTCCAGAGGCCTACTGTAGCTGGTTTACCAGCCCGATGTTTTTATTGAAGAGAAATTCTGCCTAGATAAACAAGTAGCAAGCAGCTAGTATTTTCCCAATGTGACATACTTCCCCTTCAGAAAAGATTGGTTTGTTTTGTTTGTATTTTAGGTCCTATTAGCAGCTCTGATCATTAAAGGATGTGCCAGTTTTTAGTGGAGGAATTAGGGAGATTTCCCGGAAAGAAACCACCGACCTGCGACCAGTACCTGGCAACTACCCCATGTAGGCCTTGAACCAAAGACCCAGTGGTTGAGGGCTAGTGAGGGTCGACGGTCAGATGCTTTCAGGGAAGAATTTGCTGCTTTATACTATATTTGGCAATATTTCCTTGTTCTCGATATATGGTATAATTTTTCATAGCCATCTTCATAGTATGATGCTTTACCGAATGAGTTTAGAGAAATTCTCCTTGGCTAAGTTGTTAGAAGCAGCTAATATTTCATATCATACCTTCAGTTTTGGAGTTTTCTTTACTGCATCCACTCCTTGTTTGAGAGGGAAGCTGAATTGGGTGACTGGTATCCTGTCTAAAAACATAACATTCATAAAGATTCAATTGTCACTTTTTATTAATTGTGATGCGACAAAGAATAAAAATACATATAACCAAAAAACGTCTTTGACCGTGGGTTGTCTTTTACAAAATGATGTTGCAGATGACCAACCTTTATATAGAGCAAGGAATTATCAGTAAAATGACAATAACACTGCAATAGATTTGGTTTGGTTTAGTACTGTTTAACTTCTTATCAATGACTATGGTCATTTAAGGACAGCCTTCCCTGTATGCAATATGCATGCATGTAGTGTGTGTGTTTTGGGAGGCTGCGATATGTTTGTGTTTGTCTCCTTGTGATAGCGCAGAACTGATACTGACTTTATAGTGCTACCTTACTGAAACATACTGCCGAAGACACCCCACCCCGTCACATTTTACTGACAACGGACGAACCAGTCGCCCAACTCCTAAATTGCTTGAACGTTAAGCAGGAGTAGAAACTACCATTTTTACAGACTCTAGTATGTCTCGGCAAGGGGACAGAACCCAAAGCCTTCCTCACAGGGCAAACACTCAACTAAAGGCCAAAAGTGAGGCATTGTCAAGGGAGACATTAGGAAGAAGAAAGTTGTTTAGAAAGAAGAGAAAAGATAAGATCCCCAAATTTAGTCACCTCTTACGATCATGCAATGGGGGCAGCAGGTACAATTTTTACGCCCTACCTGCAGAGACAGAGCAACTTCTACCCACTAAAGGGGGAACAGAAAATCTGTAATCATATGATAAAAATTCCAACTGAGTTTGAATTATTTCCCACTTGAGATCAACGAAATGTACCCGTGAATTCCCTATATAAATCAAAGTAAGCAATACCCCTTCCCAGGGAGAAATGGGAGTAGGGCAACGACCAATTTTGATAAGCACCTTTGGACCTTTTCATACATGAAGAGGATTTTATTCTAGCATATCTGGATGTGGAAAATTTACTGTTTAATATGTCAAGTGATAATAATGAATTTTACTTCATCCCTTCCCATAGGGTTAAATTGGTGCAACTAGGGCCCTGGCCTAGGGCTGAATCAGGATCTTTATTTTCACATTATGATAATTCCAACCAAATTGGATAAAATTATTTCATACTGAAAACAAACAAAATGTCTAAAACAATCAACATTTCTTCTCCAGAAATTGGTTTTAACCGGCTAGAACAGCAAACAAAATTTTAGGAGTAACTATGTATACTTTACTGGTAAACTTATTCCCAACACATGATAGTATTCAATCATGATTGTTAAAGTAAATATAGTCTGTACAAGAACAATATTTGACTCCCTTACGCCTGTGGCCAAATAAATGATTTAATTAATGTGTTTATACCCCTTTGGCTCTTCCTCCTTTCGGATGCAGGTGTCCATTCTTCATCACTATCATCAGAACACTCCTTTCTCTTCTTCTTTGCACCTCCTCTACGACTTTTCATGAAATCTGGTTTGATGGCAGGTAACCCTTGAAAGTGGAAATAAACATCCACTCACTGTTCTTCAGTTCTTGCATACATGGTTTACATATTGATTTACCTGGTAGTCGTTAATCACAATTTGAAACTAAAAATCTGTTGACAATAGGCTCATTATCTTAATATCACCTAGTGCTCCATTTGAAGAAAAGGGCATAACAATTACCCCGATAGAAATCTAAAATAAATTGTGATGAATTGCAAATCTGTGTAGAGTATTTGAATATGTGTACAAGCTTTGTAAATATTGGTCAAAATTTGCATATAAAATTAAGGAGGAAAATTTTACACATAAAATTGGAGAAAGGACGTCATAACTCCTACTGAAATAGTCCAAGTCAAATAGTTTGGGAAGCACACAAACAAGAGGCCCAAGGGCCTTAGCGGTCACCTGAGTTATATCATACAGTAGGCACTAGCTAGTAGCTTTATTTTATTGTTAAGATGTGATGTGGAAATCAGCATGTAAACTAAGTGAAATACAATACTTGTCATGTCATCAAAGGATAAGTATTTTAAAATATTGGCAAATGTTCCCTTTGGGGCCCCGCCCTAGCCCCTGGGGATGGAGCAGGCATTCCAATTTGGTAATACACCCATCCACCAAAGATAATTCTGACCAAGTTTGAATAATTTTCTGCTGAAAATAGATGAAATATACCCAAAAGTGTAATTTCCCTATATAAACTATAGTAAACTATAGGGGGAACGGATGGCTCAGGGGTCCTGAAATTGACAATTTCAATAAAGCTCCTGATGATCTTTCTATCCATGCACTGAAATTGACTGTAGTACATCTGAGTCTGGAGAAGAAGATTTTTGAACTATTGGTAAATTTTCCCTTTAGGGACCGCCCTGGCCCCTAGGTTTGGAGTAGGAATCCCAATTTTATGGTTTAAAGCCATCTTCCCCCAAGGATAATTCTCACCAAGTAAGAATAATTTCGTACAGAAAATTGTCAAAATATACCCAAAAGTGTTATTTCCCTATATAAATTATAGTAAACTTTACCCCCTCCCCAAGGGAGAACGGACAGCTCGGGGGTCCTGAAATTTACAATTTATATAAAACCCCTGATGATCTTTCTATCCATGCAGAGAAAATTACTGTAGTACCTCTTGAGTCTGGAGAAGAATATTTTTGATATATTGCTTAATTTTCCCTTTGGGGCCCCGCCCTGGCCCCAGGGGTTGGGGTAGGAATCCCAATTTTACAATTGTGTAGCCTCATCTACCAAGGATGATTCTGACCCCTGGTTCTTGAGAAGAAGTTGTAAAAGAAAAAAAGTTTACGCACGACGACAGACGGAAAGTGATCGGAATAGGTCACTTGAGCAAAGCTCAGGTGACCTAAAAAGGTTACTGATGATGTGTTCAGTGAAGAAGGTAAAAATGAACACTTCAGACATTAATGCAGGCATATCAAAAACACCATTTTACAACACCCTGAATATCTGATCATTTTAGCTTTTACAATTATGCAAGTATATGTGGCAGATTTTTATAGTACATTATAAGGATCACAGTCTCCTAGCTTCGCACTAGAGGGAATTTCCCTTTAGCTCAGTGGTAGAGTGTCCGACTAGGAACCTGGAGATCGAGGGTTCGATCCCCGGTGGAAGCACAATTTTCTCTTTCCTGTTACAGTACATTATAAGGATCACAGTCTCCTATCTTCGCACTAGAGGGAATTTCCCTTTAGCTCAGTGGTAGAGTGTCCGACTAGGAACCTGGAGATCGAGGGTTCGATCCCCGGTGGAAGCACACTATTCTCTTTCCTGTTGTTACAGTACATTATAAGGATCACGGTCTCCTAGCTTCGCGCTAGAGGGAATTTCCCTTTAGCTCAGTGGTAGAGTGTCCGACTAGGCACCTAGGGATTGCAGGTTTGATGTGGGAGCACACTACTCTCTTTCCTGTTATGTTTTACTGGCTTTTTTGCATGGTATACTACAGATTAACAGCGAGCAAAATGTCTCTGATAGCCTTCAAATTATGTGTGCGAGTAATCATTTGCAGTGCTTTTAATGGAATTGTGTGCAGTAGCCATATATATATATATATATATATATATATATATATAGTTACAAGGGGTAAAAGAAGCCTACCTTTACATATTTTTAACGTGACACTCATTATATAAGAATACCTGCATGCAACTCATTCACTGGGTAGAAATGTGCTCTTAAAAGTTACAATTAAATATTAACCAAATATCTGAACTTGCCTGTTTATTTTGAATAACACAAAAATTCTTTATCTTTAATATTAAGTAATGAGTGGCGGATCCAGAGGGTTTTTTTGGGGCTTCAGG